TATAATGTTCGTTTCTGTCTAGTGTAATATCTTGGTGCATTTGGCTGCTGTAACAAAAATAGCATAGACTGGGTGACTTAAACCACAAACATTCATTCCCTCACAGTTTTGAAGACTGGAAGGTCAAGGTTCCTGCTGATTTGGTTCCTGGTGAGGGTTCTTTTCCTGGCTAAGGGACAGATCTCTTGTTGTTTCTTCATGCGGCAGAGAGAGATCTCTTCTGTCTCTTCTAATAAGGGCACTAATCCCATTCATGAGGCTCCACCCACATGATCTAATTACTCCCAAAGGCCCTGCCTCTAAGAACCATCACACTGGGGATTAGGGATTCAGGGCATGGGGTGGGGGAAGGGCACAAACATGTGTTCATAGCATGCAGTGACCCAGTGGGCCAGATGGCTGGCTCTGTCTTCACAGTTACTGCAATTTAGAATAAACCAGGTGGCTTGAAGCATCATAAATTGGTAAATCTGCTACTGACCTTCTGGAGAGCTTCTATTTCCTTCTGACCACAACCTCTGGTAAGAGTGTTCTCTGGATACATGGCCTCCATCAGAGCAGAGGGAGAAAGGCAGCCGGTGGTCTTTAGTGTTTAAGAGCCAATGTTACAATTGCCCTGAAATCCTTCCCTTTGTGGGGACTCTCCTGAGAGGTGCAGAGTACCCACCCCACCCAGACACCCCCAGCTCCATGCACAGACCACATATATGCTGCAGAGAGAGATGCCAGGGACATTTCCTTTGTGTAGTTTAGCAAAGACTAACAGAGAGGAGGAGCTAATGAGGTTACAGGGGGAGGTAGGGAGCAGCAGAATGAAGGTCAACAGTCAACAGGTAGAGGGGATTGGAAGGGGTTGGGCATAACTTGGAAATGTAGAAATGTGTGGGAGAATTGATGACCACGGAACTGCTGGTGTCACCCTTGCCGGCTCTGATCTCTGGAGGGAAAGACTCCATTTTAAATCAACACCTGCCAAATTAGTTAGTGTCCGGCTCATCCTTCAATCCCTTAGTGAAGCAGTTGCCTCTCTCCCCCAGTAGGCTGAGTTTCTTGAGAGCAGAGCCTGTGTTTTTGCCAGAGTTGTCTCCAGTGGAAAGGAATGAAGTTATGAACTATTATACCATACACAAATGTTCATTTTCAAAAGCTATTCTCCAAATGCACATAGGTAGGGAATATGTTAAGCAATTGTGCTACAATATTATCCACATAAGCCAGCGCAGGCCTAGAGGGTCCCAAGGCTTGGGTGAACCGGACAAGTTGAACAGGTGGTTCTGATGACAGCAGGCCACATCATTCCCTGTAACTAGAAGTGGCCCAGGAGGCAAGGGTAGAGCTCACCATGCCAGGTTCAGTCAGGCCTCCAGGGTGGGTTATGATTTACACTGAAGTGTTTCTACTGGGTAGCTGAAGATCTGGGGACTGAGTGACCCCACTTCCATACTGGCAGCATGGTTCAAAGCTAAGAGTGTAGGCACTTGTGTTCATCTGTAGAGCTGGATGACAGAATGCCATAGACAAGGTGGCTGAACAGAAATGTTTTCTCACAGTCTGAAGGCTAGAAGCCTAAGGGTCCATTTCTGGTGAGGACTGTCCTCCTGACTGGTAGATGACTGTGTCCTCAGATGACCTTTCTTCTGTTCACATTCATGGAGAAAGAGAGAGGATACTCCAATGTCGCCTCCTCCAAGGTCACTACTCACATCAGATCAGGGCCCCACCCTTAGATTCATTTAACCTTAAATTCCTTAAGGGCTGCATCTCCAAATGTAGCCAACTGCACTGGAGGTTAGGGATATTCAGCATATGAATTTGGGGATGAGGAGAGACAAACCTTCATCCCTTAACTGCTCCAAAGACAAACTCTCTTTCCATCTCTGCTCTTATAAACTTTATCTTAAGGAAGTTTCTTAACTTTCCTAAGCCTCAGCATCCTCTTGGTAAAAAAATGGAGTGGTCATGGTGCTGTCCGGGGCATTGTAAGGATTAAATAAGATAGTGCATATATGGGCTTAGTGAAAGGTCTCATGAATAGGAGGTGCTTAATGACCATAAGTTAACATTATTCATAAGGTCCTCTCTGCTTTGAGATGAGTTACCTCTGCACTAGTTACAGGAGTGCAGTCCAGCCTGGATTTCTAGGACTAGTCCAAGCCTGTGGGAATGGGATCCCTGGGCCAGGGAGGTCCCAGAACTTTCCTCTATTCTTTAGGGGAACCGACCCTCTTCTGCGCCAGGCTAACCTTCTGAGATTTCCGGCAGGAGCTGGAACAGGTGGTGGCAGTCCAAGGGCCAAGAGAAGGGGAGTAAGTGCTGGGACTGGTGGAGCAGCTCTGTCTCCTCCCAGAAAGGATGTGGCAGAAGGGACGGCACCCGGTGGACCTGAGTGAAGGCCATTGGATTCCTTCTGGATTCTATTTAGCTTAAAAAAGGGAAAAGCTCTTTAACATAAATGCTCAGACTAACCCAAGTTTATTATATAAATTTTTGAAAACATAGGAACTTATGGGCTGGGGATGTGGCTCAAGCGGTAGTGCGCTCACCTGGCATGTGTGCGGCTCGGGTTCGATCCTCAGTACCACATACAAACAAAGATGTTGTGTCCGCCGAGAACTAAAAAATAAATATTGAAAAATTCTCTCTCTCTCTTTAAAAAAAAAAATAGTAACTTATGAAGACCATAACAATCACCCCCGCCTCTTTTATGCAGAGTTCACACTTCCAACTTCCTTTGCAGCCAGACAGACCTGGTCTGAAGCCCACACCCCCTCCTGGAGTTGTGTGACCCTTAGTTGGCTCTTGTTTCCTATTACTTTTCAAATTCTGTTTCCTGCTCCTCTAATGATGCGAACATTTACCCCCCTCCCTTGTTCCCATTTTGTAGAATTGCTGTGTAGATAAAATGCATGTGTAGTGCTGGGTGTGTGGTATTGAGAGCCATTGCTCTTGCTTCTCTTGAAGATGATGCCCTTGGCTTTGATTGGAGTAGCAAAACTCAGTCATTACTATACCACACACTTCCTGGTTCTGCACCAGGCATGTGCTGTGAAATGGAAGCAAACCAATGTTGTTATTTCCAACAGGGACTTAAGAACTATGCTCCTTTTACCCTGAAACTGTTCTGGAAATGTAAGGATTCATATTTGCACAGAGGATCAGATGTGTGTCCTCTTTCAGCAACCCCTGCCACTATCATCACTCCCCTCTTGTGATGCAAACTGAGAACTTGGACCTGTGTTTTCATAGTCACACCTGAGCATGGCTTTGGAATAACTGAGAGGGAGAGGGAGAGGGAGAGAGATTTGGTCAGAGTAGCTTTGTCCATCATCTGAGAACCCAACCATTTCAAAATTATTGCTTCTGAAATTAAGTCTCTGGTTTTCAGATCATGAGACGAAAGATCCTCAGAAATATGCCCAGTTTCCACCAATAAACAGAATTGTGGCTGTGGTCATCCCAATTCTTCCCAGTCTCTCCAGCTCAACTCCTCCCATGGCCTCTCTGCCCTTCCACACCAGGGAGCAGATCTCTTCTCCCCGGAGGTCAGAATGATAGCTTGCAAAGAGCAGGTGTTCATAGGGTACCACTGTCACTCCCAGCTACCTATCTTGTTTCCCAGCGCTCCCCCGCGCAGGGCCCCAAGGGCCAGCCTGTGTGAACTGCAGGAGCACCTGGTGCTCAAGGCTCGGAGGGCCCTGAAAGCTTCTTGGTGTTGAGATTCCAGGCGCTCCAGCCTGGCCCACTTGGCAAAAGAATAAGCCAACTGCTTAAGCCAACTGTGTCCAGGAGAGCAGGCCAAGAGCAGAGAGCAGAGAGATGATGTGTCCCCTTTCAAGAGGAGTCCCTTCCACAGGTCCTCAGGCCTCTTCATCCTGGACACTTGCCTGGTGGAAGACAAAATGAAGTGACGAGAATGAGAGACAATATGTTCACAGTTATTTGTTGTATTCAAGAAGTTGACCATTTATCCTAGACAGAGATGCCAAATAGCCCAGGAGACAAATATGGAATCGGCCTACTCAGTGCCTTAACATTTTGGTTGTGTCAGAGTGCAACAAGAAGATGAGGTTATTCATTCGATTATTCACCAGTTTCAGGTGTCCTCTAAGAGAGGCTGGGGATGAAGAGGAGGTGAAGGCAAAGGTCACCGATACCATGTGGTCTTGAGGGTCTCAGTCACTTGGTGGGGACAGAATCCAGAGCTGTAGAAGCATTTAATCCCCCGAAGACCCAGAGAATCCGTGAAAGCTGCTTAGAAGAAGAGACGGTTGAATTGAGTCCTAAAGAATGAGAAGTTTGCTGGGTATAAAAGTGGCCTTCATTCAACCCCCAAATCTCTGGGGGTGGGGCTTGGCCACAGGTGTTTTCAACAGCTCTCAGAAGAGCTGACCATGCAGCCCCATGGGGGAGGGCAGCCTTCTGGAGGCCCACCCTGAGGCGTGAACGGAGAGGGTCCACCTGAAGAATGCTATGAATTAGGCAGCTGGGAGGGCTGGAGGATCTGGCTGAGACTCGCCCCAGGAGCCTCTGACGTCTCGGGACACCACGGAGCATAGTAGAGACACTGGTCATGTAAGACCTGCTCGTTGGCTTGGCTACTTGGTAGACATAAAGTCCTTGGCACTTTGACTTTCTCATCTGTAAAATGCGACTCCTGGAGTTATTGGGGAGCTAAAATGAGATAGTAGATATGAAAGTGCTTTAGAACTCTCACAGCATTTCTGGAAGGTAAAAAGGGTATTTTTGTGGGCCCCAGCTTCCTCTTTACTGCCACTGTGTCATGAGTTCCATTGTGAGGTCATTGGGAGGCTCATGACCCCCAGTTGGCTGTAGGACCAGTTTTCTGAGGCTCAAGAGTAACTTTCTCCCCATTTCTGCTCACCTTGACCACAGAGTTTGGCTCTAGGAAGGGGTGACTGAAGTGTGGCTAGGAAGGAGTGGGCCTTAGTGACTGTGAAAGGAACTTTGACCTTGACTGGTTCCCCTGTCACCTTCCACAGGAACATGCTTGCCAATTCAGCCAGCGTGCGTATTCTCATCAAGGGAGGCAAGGTGGTGAATGATGACTGCACCCACGAGGCCGATGTCTACATTGAGAATGGCATCATCCAGCAGGTGGGCCGAGAGCTGATGATCCCCGGAGGGGCCAAGGTGATTGACGCCACTGGGAAACTGGTGATCCCTGGAGGCATCGACACCAGCACCCACTTCCACCAGACCTTCATGAATGCCACCTGCGTGGATGACTTCTACCATGGGACCAAGGTAATGCTCCTGTTTGCCAAAAGTGGCTTCTTTATTCTGCTCCTGGGGCTGCTCCAGATGAAACCCTGATACCATTTGGCCTTGAGTCTCAGTCACTCAGTGGGAACAGAACCCAAGAGTGGATGCTCCCACTCTGTTGCTACCAGAAGAAGGGTGTCTCCAGGGGCTTTTATGGCAACTAGGGTAGGGATTTCCACCTACTTGTCTCAGACAGTTTAAAAGACAGAATTTAAACCTGTTTGTTGATTGCATTACTTACCCATGTACCCAGGCCAGGAACTGATTGTATTTTCATATATTTAAAAAAATTTTTTTTTTCACAACACTGGGAATTGAACCCAGGGCCTCATGCATGCTAGGCAAGTGCTCTAGCTCTGAGCTACAACCCCCCCCAACCCTTTTTAAATTTTATTTCATAAGAGGATCTCACTAAGTTGCTGAGGCTGGCCTTAAACTTGCAGTCCTCCTGCCTCAGCCTCCCAAATAGCTAGGATTACAGACAGGCGTGCACCCAGTTATTTTTATATTTTTATGTCATGTTATACAGAACTAGAGAAAGAAGAGGATCAGCTGTGTTTATTATTGTGTAGGAGGGAAGAGTTGGCTTGGTGGACTTGTTTATGCTTGATAAGCTAAATTGAATCCCCAAAGTGTGACAGATTATAAGTCACCTCTCTAGTTGGTTTTGATAGCAGAAATCGTGAAAAAGCCATAATTATCTTCTGTTTTCTCTCCTAGCTTGTTTGTAGTTTGTATAAATGACTTAAAAAATACCGATTGTTCTCTTTTTAGTGTGAGTTATCAGGAACAATATTTAATTGGGCTGGGTCTGAGCTACTGTATGTTCCTGAATGCAGAGGACAAAAATTCAAGCCTGTGAAACATAGGAATCAGGAGCCACACAGATGGGTTCTTTCATTCTTTCTCTGTGCTCCAAACCTATCATTGATGTCATTCCTCTTCATCATAATGATCTGTCACATTCCAGCCTCTTCCTGGACATCAGACATCGGGAACATGCAGGGCAAAGCCTCTGCATTCCTCAGCTTTCCTGGAGCCCGCACTGACCTGGAGCCTAGCTGCCCGTGAATATTTGTAGAATGAATGGGCAAATGCTGCATATCCAGATGGCTCTCTACACCCAGGGGGCGTCAGATACATCTAGGAAGTTGTTTTCAAATACAGAACTGAATCAGAATCTCAAGGGCGCCAGTCTCTGACCCTGGCAGCAGTTCCTTATGCTGACTATTTACAGTGGGCTTGGCCTCTAATGCTCCCTGGGTGAGAGGAATTCACCAGTTCTTGGTCCTAGATAGGCTGACAGCCTCAAACCCCCACCCCCCGGGGCCTTACAACCTAAAATCCTACTAGTACTCTATCTGGGGTTAGGGGCGTTGTCAGAGAACCCTTCCCCTGTGCTCAGGGATTTCCCCCTGGGATTCATTTCTTGGGGGCTCAGGTGTTCCTGATGCTAGGCAGCAGCTGATGAGGCCCCTCAAGGCCACCCTTGAGGAGTCTGGCTGGGTCTGTACTATAGGAGAGGCTGGCCCCTATGGACCCGTCTGCCCCAGGTAGGTGGCCTGACAGTCTCCCTGAGGTAAGAACCGTTCTTGCCCCATCCAGGATCTGCAGAATAGACCCTTGGAAGGTTGAGCTGTGATGAGTCAGGACCCAATAGCCAGGAACCAATCTGAGTTGGGGTAAGGACATTCCCTGGCCTCCGAGAGCACACCTGCCCTCTCTTGTCAAGCCCAGGGAAGTCAGGCGGAGGGAAGATCCTTCTTCTCTCCTCTGAGAACTCCCTTGGACTCTGCAGGTGATGTCTTGCTAATGAAGTGGGTAACCCCATCCTCATAAACTGGGGTCCTCTTGCATGGTACCCAGGTGGTAATCAGTACCTTTTTAAAGTGAGTAAACCTATCCAGCTTGCCGTCCTATGCACCAGGGCAGGACAGGACAGGACAGGACAGTTTTATTTGTGGTTATTTTTGATGTCATTTTTGTTGAAATGTAGCCTGCATATGGAGAAGTGCACAGATATTAAATATACAGAATTATCAAAACTGAACACACCCTTGTAACCAGCTCCCTGTCGATTAACCAAATGTTATTAGCATCCAGAAGCCCCTTCCCGTCACTGGTCCCCACCAAGGATAACCACTATTCTAACTATAATCAGAATACTGTAGTATTTTTAAAATACCATAAGTTTTTTAAATCTAATTCACATATACACCCATCTAAATTGTAAGAGCCAGGGATTTTTAGTGCATTCATTACAGATTGGTTTGGAATATCATTACTTTATGTGAATGAAATCAAGCCAGGTGTGCCTTTGCATTGACTTCTTTTGCTCAGATTCACCCATGTTGTTGTGTGTGTGTGTGTTGCTTGTGGTTCTTTCACTCTCGTTGCTGTGTAGTATTCCACTGTGTGACAGACTACATGTACTTACCCATTCTGTTGTCACTGGGCATTTAGGTCCTTGCTGGTTTGAGGTTAAGACATCGTGGTATGAACATTTTGTATACATCTTTGGCAAACATGTATGTGCACAATTTGTTGGGCATTTTCCTAGGAGTGGAATTAACAGGTCAAAATATGACACAAAATGTTCAGCTTCAGTGGATACTGCCAAACAGTTTTCCAAACTGTGACAGTGTATGCTCCCCGCAGTATGAAAGAAAGGCCACAGTATTTCACATTGACATGCCTCTGATAGTGAGTGACACCAGTCTATGCTGGGGTGGTATGCTGAGGCCTTGTACCAAAAAATGGTTAGTGTTCCTGCTTTGGGGGACCTTTAGTTCAGGGCCAGATGCCATGCTGTCCCTGTGCTGTCTGCCGGCCTCATGGAGGGCAGCCTGGCCCTCTCAGTCTTATTTTCCACATTGTCATCTGCCAGAGCCTCATTAGCCAGGAGTTACAGGTTTTCCCCTGAGAGCCTTCAGCTCTTCAGAGCCAAAGAAGAGCTCTGCACACGAATCTTTGTGCAAAATGGAGGGTAACTCTTGATCTTTTACAGGCTTCTCCACTGTTACTGGGGTTGGCTTCCTCCAGAAAACATCTGAAGGACCCTGTGTGATTAAAGGCTCCAGACCTTCCAGTTTCTGCAGGTTCGGGGTGCCTTCATATCAGGCACCAGTTGTGCTGAATTTAGACCATAGACGACCCCCACCAAGCCACCTGATTGGTGGTGTCACCTAAACAGACTCTATTATATCCATCCCCTCAGCAAGATTGCATGTGTCTTTACGCCCCAGCCTTCCTGTTGCCCAGCCCCTGAGCTAGCCTCCTGGACCCCTTTAGTAGACCTGCCCAGAGTCCTCCTCAGGCCTCCAAGAAGGATTCCTGCCCTTGCACCCTTCTGCCCTCCACTCTCACATGGCTGCTCCTACCGCTCAACATTTTGTCTTCCCATTTCCTCTGGTTCCTGAAAATTTCCTGGGAAGAGAAAATGCTCTCCTGTTAGAACACTGGCTGACAGGGACGTGTGGGTTTAATTATTCACTCCACCTTGGCACTTGTGCAGAGGCCATGTGCCCTGATAGACCGCCACCAACCTATTCAGCTCACACCAAGAAAGTCTGGCTCACTTGAAGCATATTATTATAATAGAAGAATGATCCCAAGGAAGAGCTCACTGAGCGATTAGCCAAGAGAGATGGAGGGATCACATCTCGTCTTTTTGTGCTTATCAGACAGATCCTCCGGGTCTTGAGCCTTGAACCCCCTCAGCTTTCGCCTACTTGTGGATTTGGCAGCAGCAGCCAGGGCTGGAAAAACAAAACAGTTGAGAGCCTGGCTTTGCCCGGAACATCTGGGTCTCCATTGTACTCAGCCTGAAGGGATTTCTCGCCAGCACTTTAGCAAACGCCTTCCACGCCGCAGCAGCCTCTGAGGCTGCGACAGGCTCTGCCTGGCTCCCCTGCTCACAGCCTGGTCACTTGATCGTCCGCCCTGCCCCAGGCACCACCGCCCTCTTCCCCTCTAACCTGCAGACCTCGTCCTCCAAGGCCAGAAGCAGTGTTTACCGGGAGGTGCCAGGACCACCTGCTTGCTGATAATACAGACTCTCTTCTAGAAAGAAACTGTGGGGAGACAAGGAGAGGGGTACTGAGGGGATCCAGTGACCCACCTGTGTTGGTAAAGGTCTGGAATTACAGTCAGGTTGTGGGGACTTGACCTACATAGAAGTTAACATTTATTCTTTTGTACATATTTAATATTGCATCACAAAGAATGTTCATATGGGCTCTCGACCAGGGGTTCTCATGTCCAGGTGGAAATACAGAATCAGTCCTTTCAGCTAGAGACACTAGCCCCTTCACTAAGCCGGTAGAGAAGGAGCAGCCATAGACAACTGAAAAAATTCTGCATCCCTTCCCTGCCTCCCTCTCCTCCAAAAATATTTTAAGAACCACAGTTGGGCCAATGGTTTTCAACCCTTGGAAGCAAATTACATTAGAACCACTTGGGGGATTTTTAAGAGATGTCAGTGTCAGGCCCCAGCCCAGACCAATTAAATCCATGTCTCTAGGCCTGCCTCCTCCCCCATAAATATTTTTTAAAGCATCTCTGGTGATTCTGATCACTGGCCAGAAGATTATTCAGAAGATTTCTTGGTGTTTGGAATGGCCCAACAACCTGGCTGTACTATGGTGCCCATCTGACCCTCACCTTATATGCCAAGACTGACACCTGAATCTCCTTTGAAAGTATAGGCCTTGCCTGACCTTTGCCTGTCTTATTTGCTTCTCTCTTTTCATTCACACTCCAAGACCCAAACCCCAGCCTAGGGCCTAGATCCCTTAGGCTTGCCAAGTGTCCCTGGCATGACGTTTGCCCTTCTATCCATACCCCCATGGGTTCATCATGGTGAGAGAAGTTGGCAGTGGTAGAGGTGTCATCAAGTGGAAGATTGACTGGGGTTGGCCCACTTCCTGGAGGGCCAGAGACAACCTCTATCTAGTCTTGCCAGGGGTTGTACGTCGTAGAGA